TTTGGGGAATTAAGCTCATTTTCCACCTACCCGAGTAAAACAATTGTTTTTTTACCGTTTTGGAAACCATTCAGCCGATCTCTGGGTCTGGCGGTACCACTTTTAGCATAGCTTAATGTAATAACGTAATGGGTATGACGACAATATTATTGTAAATTAGATCACAAAAAAGCGGTAGCTAACGTTAATTGAATCAAGCAAACAAATAGCTGTTGCTCAAAAAAGCTTGACTTGCCTCGAATTTCACATAAGATTCCTTCACGTTATAAGTTTCCATCAGACTCGCGTGTAGCCAGGTGTCTCATCCAATGGCGAGCTCAGTTGATGCTGTGTGCTTTAAGATTCTGATTGGCCCAGAGAAATGTCAACTATAAGAATTATCCAATAATGTTTCGCAATTCTAGCCTGTATGGCATGCAGATGAAGGGCAGAGTCCTTAAGGTCAGTCCTGCCGCTCCAGCAACACCCCAGGCAGCTATTTCGAACCAACAAGACCAGGCCCCTATCTGAATGAATGGGGAGGGAGCCAGAACTGCACTTTTACTGGGACATAAAACTACATGAATAGAATCAGCAGTAACATCTGATACAAACTGCTGACAAAGTTTTACAATTTCTATCTCATTACTTGAAATAAACTGTAGAATACTCCATTACTAAAATAATTGATAGCTACAGCCCTAATTCACACAACGTATCTCGTTTTAACCAAATCTTAAATGATTATAGGCATAATTTTGATTATTGCTAGGCCTGAACAATTAATCGTTTAAGTCGAAATTGCGATTTGAAAGTACGTGATTAGCTAATCGTGAAGACGATAAAAATGTAGGTTAAATACATCTGACCCGTTTTAAACAGTCACTTAAACTGTGCCACTGTTTTGTACGGCGTCAACTCAAACTTAAGTGTTCCAGCAGCCTAGTGTTTGACATTTTAATTTGTCATTTTGTGTGCTTCAAATTCAGATAAGAGATCTGAGCCCGTTCCATTCCACTCTGTGCGGGCTACATATCCTACTACTCAGAACAACTCAGAATAAGAGCGTTTTGCTGGTCTGATTTTGCTGATTTGTTCAAATTTTGCTTATTTGTTCAGTTGTCCTTGATTTGTGCTTCTATGGTTAAGTAGGCTACGTAGTTAAATTGTTTTGTCTGTTAAACTGTTTATTGTTGATGTACAGTGGTCTGCAACGGGTGTTTTATTTTGAAAACTCGACCAGATTCTCCATGACTGACTTCCTGCATGGTTCATCTGCTCTGTGCTGCTTGACATGGTTTCTTTCAAAAATAAACTCAGTGAATTTTGAACTTAAGCAAAACTTCATAAAAGAAATATCTGGCAGAAAAATCTTTCAGCCTTATTTATCGCTCAAGTCTGTATCAGCCTAATAAACCACTGTCTAAGCTGAGCAACATGTTAAACATTATGTAAACTCAGGATGCTCCAAATAAGTTTCCATATAACTTGACGCATACTGTGTGCCAGTATAAACACACTTTCAGTACCTGCTGGTTCCCTTATTTTGCAGCTAATGTAAATGTATGCTGCTTTAAAGTTAAATATCACAAAATAGCATGCCATTATGTATACTGAACAAAGACTGGCCGCACAGCAGAGATGTATATTGTTGTGTTGACCTGTCAATCACTGTGCTGCTGTCCTGTATTAACTATTTGTAGCCATTTTTAGGGACCCCAGACACCACAGGTAGATGACGGGGCTCGTACCCTGGCAGTCATCTTGCCAGGCGTCATCAACAACAGCTACATGGCACGAAGCACAGCAGCTGCACTTGACTGGCAGATCTAGCACCAACTCTCAAACCTGATTTGATTTTTAATAGCTGCAATTTGACATCTGTTCTGATTTTATTGTAGGTCATTTACTGAATTTAAGCCAGAAAGGCAAACCGAAAACCCTGCAAAAACAGCATCACTTACCTTGACGACAACGCAGCTGCAGCCCACCACCTTGCGGGGTTTGCCCTCACGGTCGATTTTGCACAGACCAACCCACTCGCCGAGCTTCTTGTTGTCATCAACCTTATAATAAGTTAAACAGCGTCTCTTAGTGCCAAGTTACTCCTGATATACAGGGTCACTAATGTGCACTTAAGTGTAGGCACAATAGCAAATACTTGTGCAGTAAGATAAAACGGCAGCAGTGTGGGGTACTCTTGGCTGAGTCTCAGACATAAATTGGGTAACAGAGGCAATCTCCTCACAGTATTCAGTAGAGGGAGCCAAATTATCATCAGTGATACAGCAGAGTGCGACACAACATGCTACCTTTACCTTCACTGTCAGTACACAAGATAGTACCAGAAGTCACATCAGTCTGGTCTTGAGCAGGCTCATTACCTTTATCAGGTTGATCTGATGCTCAGCACAGAGGGCCTCCACCAGCTTGACGTACATGGGCTCATCGCAGTTGGCAGCCAGAGCGCAGAGATGAGCCTGACGCCTGCAAAATAACACTGATTTTACTCGCAGTAAAGGAGTTAAACGTCACTTACACATTTAAAAATTTGAAGGCACATCTCAGACAAAAATTGGGTAACAATGGCAGGCTTCCACATAGAAGTTCAGTAGAGGGAGCCAAGAGATCATCAGCGATATACCCGCTACGGACAAACCATAATACTGATGAAGTAAAATAATTTCTCAACATACTTGTCCAGGGCCTTGGTGGCCTCACGGATACCACGGGCAAGGCCATCGTGGATCAGGGAGGTCTTGAGCACTTCAGGGAGAGCGGTGTTGACATCCATGACACCTCCAGCGGCAACGCTATCAGAAATGGGTCAACGAGAAACACATGCTTACTATTTTTTCAAGTTTAATTTTTCACAAGTTCACTGTTAGTGGATTCCAGTCGAGCTTCCAACATGTCAGAATAAGGATCTCACTCATTGTTGAGTGAAGGGGTATCCGACAAAAGAATAAAGTCATCATTCATGTACCAGAAAGCTCACTTGAAGAGGAACGGCACATTTAAAATTTAAGTTGTTTGCCTCAGTGCAGCTGAGCCTTGACATATCCGGCATTGCCCCAGACAAAGAGGGGGATTTGTTGGTAAAGTCTGGTTCACATTTACATTATTTATATACACACACAGTTAATGAGTTTGTGCGTTTTTTCTAAATCTGATGCACAAGTTGTTAAGACATTTACCTTTGACCGTTTTAATATTTGCATGTGTTAGCAGATTGCAGTGTTTTGAGCTCTTTCTGCTCTGGTACTTGAAAATTCCGGTTGTTCAGAGTGAGAACCAGTAAAGATCGACACATTTAATGTCTGCAGCCACTGACTTCCCAGCGAAACGGCACCGAGTAGATTTGACTTTGTTTAGCAAGAAGCAGAGTAAGCTCATGAACCCTAAAACCATCTTAAAAGTATCAACCATCCCTACACTCAATAGCTTAACGTTACTAACTTACATATCAAGTGACCATAACTCCGACTAGTTAGCCTGCAGCTCGGCTAAACTAGCCAGTTAGCTCATGTAAAAACCAAGACTACCGTTACACCGTATCACTGCACAAGTAATTGTGTTCCCCAAAATAACTGTCTACATTACACCACTACTTTTCACAAAGACTCTGTTCCTGTCAGCGCCGTTTTGCTCATAAGATACGCCGGTTATCACCGTTTGGGCTAGCGACATGTCTGAACGTCATGCTCACCCTTCCTCGGCCATTGTTGATTTAAGATGGATGTTTGACTTAAAGTCCTGCAATAAAGAACATATATGAAAGGAGAGTCATTATCCACCATTAACAGCTCAATGTAATGTATTTATAGCTTCAGATGTTTGATTAATCTTGTAGATTGTGCCGGCGGTTGAGGAAACGCACCAAAACCTCCTCTCGGGCAGCTGGTAAAGAGGACGTCATAAGCCTGCGACATTGCTTTAATACCACCAGGCCCCATCTGCTCCATGGATGTGGCGTCCAATGAGTTGCCTGATGTAGTTTCAGCAGAGTTCATTGTGAATAAATACTTGCTGACTTGTGACCTTTATTAATTTTGTTACCAAACATAGTCAACAAATACGTCTTTGTATTTGTACAGAGGTACTAGCCTATGTGAAAACCTGGTGAAAACCCAAATTGTTCAATATTGCCCAAATTAATAAAACATGAAATAATTTGAATAAATAAAAGCCACATACATTATGTGGAAAATATAATTCTTCTTGATTCTTTTCACAAAAACAGAGGAAAATGTAGGTTAAATGTGCAAAAATCACGACTTTCCAATATTCCAAAGTCCCTGAATAGACCTATCTGTATTAATTTTTTCATCAATGTAAACTGACTCAAGGTTACGTCAGCGTCTACACACTCTGTGCCATTTATGTAAAATCTTATTTTCGTAATATTGTGGCACCACAGGGGTAGGTGTTGTGAAAGCCCCCAATACTGCTCTGGGGTAACAGGTTTATGGATGTTATAGGCTATTGAACTGGAAACTTTGACTCGCCACTATATACATTGTTTCTTACAAACAAAATTTTATAATTTACATTATTGTGTCTTCATAAGGTGATATTATACAGTAACAGTTTAACTTCCCTTTACCTCACTGGAAAATGTGCAGATAGATTACACTTTGTATCAAAGTATCAAGGTTTATTTATCATTGTACAACCAAATGAAAGGTTTTAGGCCCTTCACAGCGCTTTTACACTACATCTGCGTTCACACACGTCATACACATTCATACACTGAGCCTAAGTGCTCAAACAGAAACTAACATTCACACACATTCATACACTGGCGGAACAGCCGCCAGGGGACATTTAGAGTTCAGTATCTTGCCCAAGGACACTTCGACATGCAACCAGGTGGAGCCAGGCGTTGAACCGCCGCCCTTCCGATTAACAGCCAACCCGCTCTACCACCACAGCTGCCCATACATAGAACTTAGCAGATAATTAAATGAATATACATGTCTTTCACAAAAATAAGAAATGAAAAAACTCATCTCATTAAGTGAATTTTAGCATTTTTTATTTTAATCATACAAACTGTTCAGATGTGCAACTCCAAAAAGGCTAGAAAGGCAGTTCCACTTAAATGTACATTTTCTTGAGCACTGAGCATTATTTATCAAAATGAATAAAAGGTCCGTCATAACAACATGAAATGAATGGAAACAGAATTAATGTTTTTTTCTAGATTTATTTTTGTTTGTTTGCTTAACTATATATATTTATATAGATAGATAGTGCAGCGAAAATGGTGGTTGAGTTGTCCCATCGCTGGTCTTCAACACTTTTAGAGTTTGAGAAACCCCTCTAAGTTTTCCATCTCGATAGCATTATTAAATGCAACGATGTCCTGAAAGAAAGAAAAAGTGTCAGGGATTTGGGGGTGAGTGATGAGTGAAGGCAGAGACACAGAAAAAGAGGGAGAAGAGTTATTATACATATCTTTTTTACACATCCTAATATAAGCAGTATTTATTAGTTTTATTGAGACTGCGTGTTGTACAGCTTGTGCACCTTAGCCTAAGGTTGGGGCATAATTTCTATTATGGAAGCTGGTGAACTTCCTGTGTAAGAATCCACATGTAAATTGAGTGAAAATTAAACACTAAGGCCAACACATGGTTCTCCAACAAAGTGACAATGGCCATCAGGTTAATAATGGTGTCTGGCCTGGCCAGCTCAGTCAGTAGAGCATGAGACTCTTAATCTCAGGGTTGTGGGTCGACCCACGTTGGGTGCATTCCTGTTTGCTCCAGTCACACCATTCCTTCTCCACCTCATTTATAAAACACAGAAAGTTCAATGCTGATTTCCCTATATAAATCAAAAATTGAAGTGGGCTGGTACGTGGCACAAGCACTTGTACATTTTACTCTTTGGTTTCTAGGAACATTTTCTTGTGCACCAGCATTTCTCCCAATCTGCCAGTACTATTTTCTGCCTTCTCCACCAGTGGAGACTGAGTAAGGAAAAGATCGGGTGCCGATACATACACCAGCATGTGAACTACATGTGAATGTGAGGTACTGGTCACAGAGCTGACTTATGAGTGCTGGTAACTATGGAGTACATAGGGCACTCTGTAAAAATATTAAAATCAAGAAAGTTCTTAGATGTATGTGTAGTGGATTGTTATAACACTTTTTAAAGAAGTGTTACCCCACCCCACCCTGGTCAGCCATTGAAGCTAGCTGTATTAGCATAGTGGATGGAAATTATCAGGGTAAAAATGCATCACATGTTGCCTTAGAAACTACATTTTTATCCGATATAAGTCATACAATTTTATCTCCAACAGTAAGATATTAAACAAAATATAATCTTCGTCAAAAAATTAACTTTCTCACCTCAAAATAATTTTTTTCTCTATATATTCTGAATGGGCCTGTTTTCAGCCTTGACAATCACCATGCCTGATCAGGGATGAAGTAGGAAAATACTGTAACAATCACATAACTCCTGTCTTATCTCTAATTGGTGTATTTGGTGTCATTACAACTCTCCCCATGTTATAACCATACCCGGTCTCCACATTTATTCCATACCTTGTTTTCAAAAACGATCTTAAATTGTGTTTTTTATTGCGCACTTCAGGGAATGTCAATCAAACAGATATGTGTTTATTCATTTAAGAACAGCTTTCATCTGTTTCAAATTAACTTATATAATATTAAATTATTACAAATTAAATTATTACAACAGTATCCATTTCCAACTGTTTCATCCTTCTGCTATCTGAGTCGCAGTTTCTCATTTCTCCAGTTTATGCGCATACGCATGGGTCAGCGTTTGCGTGGAGGACCACACATTCTCCCATCAAGTTTTTTTTTTTTATAAATCCCAAAGTGTACTTAGAAAGTGGCATACGCCATCTTTTGTGCATATCCAATGCACATAAATGAGACCCCACCTCTGTCTCGTCTATCAGTTATACTGTGTTGTGGTGTCTTGTAAGTGGAGTTGGCTTTATCCAGCTGTTTCTGTAACTTCCCGAAACGACAATCTGACAAGCATGCCCATGCAGCATTTGGCCATCAGTACTGCACTTATTTGGTGATAATATAGTATTGACCGCTGAATGAAGAGTTATTACAATTCAACATGTGGGAAACATGATAGTTGGTACACATGAAATATAGGGCCTATGCATCCAATAGCTGTTAATGCATTTCAGACTGAACAAGAAATGTCAACCTGCTGGTGGCACTAGGGGCTCCAGGATCCTTTGTGGGCCATGACAAGTTTCAGCCTGGACTAAACTGGTGGACAAACCAGCGTGGCAAAAATGATCATGTTTGAGGGCACAAAACAAACTCTATGACAATTTGCATTTGTACTTTTGCGTTAAGGATCAGAGGAGGACCCCTAAAGCCAGAGCAACTTTTCTGTCACAGCCAAAACTGAATGGAATGCAAAGGTCATTGTAAAACCCCTATTGGGTATGTATGTTTGAGGAGTGATTAAGGTGTGTTCCAGCATACCTGTGTGTGTGTGTGTGTGTGTGTGTGTGTGTGTGTGTGCCTGTGGTTGATGTAATATAATGTAAATATGTATTTAATCCCTGTGTCTACACCCTAGACTTCCTGGTACAATTACTCCAACCGAGTAAATGATTAACATTCAGTCATAAATCTGTTAGTTTTGAGAAGGTGTTATATGTTTAGTACACCTGATTATTACTTTTGTAAGTTATTGTGGGAGACTTACCCCACAGTAGACGTCCCCATTGCATATTTGAGGGGGCAGTGCTTTCGGGTTCCCTGCCCTCTTCCTCATTAAATCCTTGTCTTCAGAATTCTGAGAAATGTCCACCACTTCGAAGGGGATCTTCTTGGAGGTCAAGATAGAGAAGATTTTGTCCTGATTTTTCCTCATCTGGAGAGGACAATATTTCATCAGTTAACTTTGCAAGAATATTACATTCATGTGTAGCCATTTGACCTTTTTGGTTATATCAAGTTCTCTTTTGCAATACAATCTACTTCACTGTCCAGAATGAGCAGCTAGAGTTTGTTTTCAGAAACCATAATAATATATAATGCCAACAAGTAAAAGAATGAAGCAAGTAAGACTTCATACTGTACCTCTACGGTACCGCACACGCTGGAAAAAAACACTTTGACCGGCATATCTGCTATTTTAACAAGAACACCTTAGTGTAGAGATTGCGAGAGCTGCAGGGACAGAGAATGTTGCAGTATCCTAAATGCAGGTATGTGTTGCTTGTTTGCTGACAGACAAGGTAAGCAGGTTTGGACACGGCAAAGCTTACCTTCCTGCTCGGGCACACCCACTTCTCTGTTCCAGTTGAAGCCTGCCTGCGTCAAAAGTAAAAGCACTGAACCACACTCACAACTTAGTCTGTACTGCACATAAGCAGTTCAGAGGTACTTTACTGGAGTCTAGTTTATGCTACTTTATACTCCACTACATTTCATAGGGAAATATTATATGTTTTACTTCACTACATAGACCTTATACATGGAAGACATTTTGACAGGAAAAGCCCAGTTGTAAATGATAAAATAAATGATGGCTGAATTCAATTTAGTTGTTTTGTTATTGTTCATGATAGTGACTATGATGATAGTTATAATGATTATATTATTATTGATGATGATTATTTCAAGGATAATTCATTGTTTCATTGCTATTTGATGGTATATTGTATCTGTTTTAATAACATTTAAGGACATTTGAGGACATTTGCTCCCTCATTAGCAGGGTCTAATTATGTGTCAGCTAGATTTTCTTTTAAAAACTCCACCAAATGAAAAGTGTTGTAAGAATACAAATTTATTGATAAGCACTCACGTACAAAAAAAAAACGTAATTACCATGCAATACAAAGTCAATGTAATCAGAATCATTCTACAGGTCAGTGGACCTTAGCTGTGTGATTGACAGAAAAATAAAACTAGTATGAAAATAAGTGTTACAACAAAACATTTGCCTGTTTACACAAACCTCATTTAAGCCATTCAAAATCACAGTTTTTAATTAAGTCTATTTTGTAAATCTTTTAAAACAAAAAACAAAGCATTCATTAAAGGAATGCAAATATTTCTAAAAAAAAAAAAGAAAAAAGAATCTTTACTCAAAAATGCTGAAATGCTCCTATGGTCTACCTTAAAGAACAACTGAACACCAGCAGAAAATCTTGTTGTTGTTTTTTTTGCTGACCACCAGTGGTTTAACTTCTGATGTCCAGGGTGTATTGGTACACTGCAATATCACTGTTGGGTGTGGTTAGAGGTGCAACACAAATGAAGCTTTCAACCAGAGAGCATTAAAAGCCTGTTTTCAGCCCAGTTATGTTGCTCATAAAATTTTGTGAAATCACATGACATAGGTTATTCCTTGAGTCATTTTGTTGTCACGAGAGAACGAGTGGTTCAAGCTCATAACACACTCTCCCAGCCAGGTCTTCAGGGACCCTCTCAACAGAGTTATCAGAAGCAACATTGGCCTTCTTGTCTTCCAGGCCGTGACTTTGTCTGTGCTCGTTCACTTGGGTATTGGGGTCTCTGAGGGAGATAAGGAGAGTGACAATATCAGTTACAAGGAAGTCTTTCAAGTTACTGGTAAAATAAAATAAAGCATATAAAATAAAGGTGTATTTAGGCAAATAACATCATCTACGTTCTCTTTTTTTACTACCTTCCGTCATATGTTCCATTTATTCTGTCTTCTGTATCTTGTTTTATTGCTCCTCCAAACCTGTTACTAAACTGAACCACGGTACCTGAAAAGTGAGCATAAAATGACCATGACGAAAAAAGTCTTGAACTGAATCAAATACAGGTGGCACCACATGGCATATGAATAACAAGGCAATCTTGTGTGCTATTCCAATGCAGTTTTTGCTTTTTGCATGTCATTTCACGCCATTTAGTCTCTCCTGATTTATATTGTGCAGAAACCGTGTGTCATATTACACTGGCTGTCACAGGACAAAAATAATCAGGAAAGTCAGAGTAAGGAGGTGGATGAGGTGGACTGGGGGCCAATACACCGGACTTTGACCCAAGGGACCGGCGTTCATTTCTCGTGGGAAATAGAAATTAAGTTAAGAAGGTTGCATAAGTTACGTAATTTCAGTGACGTCGTTATTGTAACCCAAACCATGTTGTTTTGAGTAGCGTGTAGCTAAATAGCATTAGCTACGTTAGCTAGCTAGCTAACTATGTTAGTGTTAAAGGCCTTGACAGCCCCCCAAAGCCCTTACCCTCACCCTAACCATCACAGGGTTGTTGTGCGCCTAAACCTATGTGAGTGATTGTATGTATGTCGAGTGGTTAACCGTATAAGCTTCCTCTCATCGCCCTTATACGGCCAACGTGCTAGCAGATAGGGTAAACCTTCTTTGTGTTGCTGCAGTCTATGGGGACTAAACAGCAAAAGCGTTGACATGGCACCCAAATGTCCTTAAAAGTGGCATGCTATTTATATGCCATCCCATGATTTCAAGTTGAATCCAGAGCAACTAGGTCATTTATTCATTACTTTGTTGGCCACTTGGTGGCAGCATAACAATTTGTTAACACAGAACGGACATATCATCACCTTCTAAAGCACATATATTTGCAAACTTTTGCCTATTCACACATCCAGCAGACAGGGAGCAGGTGCAAAATTAGTATTTGGTGTTGACGTGTTTCCAGAATAAGTTCACTCTTCCTTCCTGAGAAACATATGTGGCTCTTTAGCTGCTGAAAGGCCTCGCTGTGTTCACCAGCTAGTCGCTAACTGTGTTTATATGTCGTTTGGTGCTGAGAAGGTAATGTTCATTGGGTTTATTAGAGCTTTTTGATTGCCTGCTACACTAAGAAGACTGAAACTAAACAGCAAAGTTGTGGGCTGTGAAACCAAAACAACAAGCTGAAAGATGCTACCATACTTTGTAGAGATGAGGGGAAATCATTTCTATGGCCACTTGGGGTCAGCGGAAACACACAGTAAACAACACACATAATGACGCTATGAGAGCAGTGAGTGAATCAAAGTAAAGTTCCGGGACTTAAAACTACAACAATGTGCTGAAAGATACAAAAATGAAATGAGCAGGGGGGAGTCAAATTAACTTGGTGGGTTTGTCACCACAGCTGCACCTTTTACTTTACACACACTAATTTTTCCAATGTTAATATCAAAATATTATTAATTGGTGCAGCTTTAAACAATCTAGACATAGTATATGACATGAAATGAAGGGGCCATTGCTGTCATTTTGTAATGTAAAAACATGTGGCTGTCTGCCACTTACCAGCAACTCGCCCTCTCCTTCTCCAGATGAGGTAACCTATAACCAGCACGAGTAGCAACACCGCTAGCCCCCCCAGAACTCCTGAGACAACTGAAGAGGATGAGGTGGCTGTAGGGATTAAAAGATAATGTTAGTAGAGTTAGCGAAGGAGAAAACTAACCATAATCACTGTAGAAAGACAAAAAAATCTCAAGGTGCTCTATGGGTCTCACCAACTACAGTGACTTCGAGTGACTTTGAGGGAACAGAACAGAAGGTTTCGGAGGAGATGTTAACGCCATAGACGCAGCTATACTCTCCTTGCTGTTCAAAATCTATTGAATTGAATTCAAAGGATGCCAGGTAGAAGACTGAGTGGCCAAATGCTGACTTCATGTCAGTGGTGCTCATGTTTGACTTTGTCAGATAGAAATAACCTCCAGGATATCTGGAATGCGTAGAGCAAGAGACAGTGAAGCTGCTGCCTTGGGTGACGGATATTTTGTCTGGGGTGTAGATCACCATTGCATGGGGAGATGAAAGGGAGATGCTGGGCTTTTCCAGTTTCACTGCAGAACAGAGATAGATTTTTACAAACTCATAGATCATAAAACTTGTTTGCAATCTGAAATCAGTCAAATTATATGGACAAAGCACCGCACTGACCTGTGACAGAGAGCTCAGCAGTATTTCCTTGAGGATAATAGATGACTTGATTGGCCAATTTCTTTTGATATTCACAGAAGTATGACCCCTTTTGGTTGAAGTCAACTGCAGGGAAGGTGAAGGTTGTAGCTTCGTGGTCAGAGAATCTTTCCATTTGAAATGATCCTTGGGTCTTTTTCAGGATGAATGTCCCACCCAAGTGTTCTGATACTACAGTGCAGGTGATTTCAACTCTGTCACCCCAGTTTACCTCTGGAGAAGGACTGAAAGTGATTTGGGGCTTTTCTAGAGCACCTGAAATAGATAATAGATTTTAGTAAGTTTGTTTTATCATAAAGTCCAACGCAGCTTCATCTAATACCAGTTTAGAGGTAATGACTTCATTCACAGATTCAAAATGCACCAGGCCACTTACCCAAACAGACAACACCAGCATCTTCACCATGCCCGCAGTTATTTTCCCCAAAACCGGGATGTGTACAATGTGTGAGAGCAGACTCTTGGCCTGTACACGCCACATTATCCAGCCATATTGGACCTGTGCCTCTACCAAAGTGGGCACTTGTAGGAGCAGCAACTGCATGACCGCAGCCAAGCTGTCTACATACCACATCAGCATTGGCCAGTTGCCATTCATCATCACACACAGTTCCCCACTGGCCTTTGTAGAGGAGCTCCACTCTTCCAGAACATTGACCTGAGCCGCTGACCAACCGAAGTTGTGCTGCATATGAAGACAGAAATGAAGTGAGTCCAGATGCAAATGACAGTCCTTGCATTTACATACAATTCTAAAAAGTGTATTTGGATTTTTGGATTGCCTGTGTGTATTAATACACATTCATTTTAATTTTAAAACACAATGTAAATACATTTCATGTTGTATTTTGAAGCTTGTCCCACCATCATCAGGAGCAAGAAGCAGAAAATTGGTTTACTTAAAATAATAATGTGAAATAATATATATATTGAAGCAATAGTTTGACATTTTGGCAAACATTCTAATTGGCTTTCTTGCTGAATGTTCGATATTTGGATGGATACCACATTTACATCTGTATGATGAATGCAACTAGAGACAGCTGCCAGTTAGCTTAGCTTAGCTTAGCTTAGCTTAGCGTAAAGGCTGGAAATGGGTTAAATAGGTAGCCTGGCACCGTCCGAAAGCCTTAAAACCTCCCTACCGGCACCTCTAAAGTTCCCTAATTAGCATTTTATCTCTGATTTATGATTCATTTAGGGTAGTTGTGTCACCATTTTCCAGTGTTTACGTTAAACTAAGCCAACCAGAATGTGATGATCTTACAGAGGTGAGAGTGGTATCAATCTTCTCATGTAACTCTTAAAAAAAGCAAATTCTGTATTTAAGTTCAACTTAAGTTGTCAAATTATTCCTTTAAGTTTGATTTTGCGCTTGATTGAATGAGTACTATAACAATTTTTCACTCCACTTTTACTTGGAAGATGTAAACAGAATACA